GAGGAGGAGGAGGAGGAGGAGGAGGAGGAGGAGGAGGACGAGGACGAGGAGGAGGAGGAGGGGGAAGAGGAGGAGGGGGGGGGAGGAGGAGGAGAAGGAGGAGGAGGAGAAGGAGGAGGAGGAGGAGGAGGAGGAGGAGGAGCCGAAACGGACAAGACATTTCCACCGTGTGTGCACTTCACGGCGCGAGCACGCGCCCTGGGGCCCGGCGGCGCGGCCAGGCCGGGATCGCAGAGGCGCTCGCAGACTGAGCTTGCGCCATCCTCCTCGTCCTGCTGCTGCCACTTCTCCTGCTCCTCCTCCTCCTCGACCTCCTCTCGGTCGCCCTCCTCCTCCTTTCCTCCTCCTATCCTCCTCCTTTCCTCCTCCTCCTCCTCCTACTTTCCTCCTCCTCATCCTCCTCATCCTCCTCCTCCAGTGAGGGACCTGGGGGCACTCCACCATGTGCCTATGGGGGCACGCTGGCGGATCTGCTTGGCCGTGTGACGGGCGTCGACGTGCGGGGACGGGAGAGCGGGCGCTCTCTCCAGAGACGGCGTACACCCGCCGCGGCACGTGCACAGCACTCGACTGCACGTCCTTAAGAGTGACCCTTCGCCAGAGTGACCTTTTGTGTGGGCCCACTGGCGTCCCCCGATCGCCGAACCTGATGCGACAGTAGCGTCTTGCGCCATTGCGTTTGGCCCCCCACCCGCGCCCCCCCTGAATTGGTGCACCAAAGGCCACTCTTATCCAGGGTCACTCTTGCGTGTAGCCGAAGCACCGTCATCCGAGCGCCACGATCCTTGATTCTTAATTCCCCCTCTTGCAAATCCTGAAGGAGGTTCGATTCCGCACCGGCGCCGGTAGATCCGTGGTGGTCGAAGCCGCCCCAATCCGGCACCGTCCCGTCTAATCCGTCTCAATCTTGCCTCGCTGGAATCAGTTCCCCGCTTCATCCATCCAGCCTGATTTAGCTCAGTTGTGCCTTAATCGGGCTCAATCGTTTTTAACCTTTCATACTAAGTCGCCCCAGGAGTTGCTTCCCAACCTCCCTCCCACCTCCCACTCCTCCGGGGAGTTGTTTCCTAGCCTCCTCCTCCTCCCTCCTCCTCACAGGAGTTGCTTCCTAGCCTCCGCCTCCCCCCCTCCTCTCAAGAGTTGCAACCGAACCTGGGAGTGGCAAACATTGCATCAACATAAATCAGCTTCCGGAGGTCTGCGCGGATTTCTTGGACCGGCGCAGGGTCCCCCCCCGTCCCACCTCCCTGGCGCGCGGAGCGCGCCAGGGGCGGCGGGGCGGCGCCAGAGGCGCCGCCAGGGAAGCCCAATGCCGATCAAAGCAGCCCTCGCGAACCTCCGAAAGATCATCGTTGTGCCGTTGGTTGTCTTGCGAAGCCCGGCGGCACTGGGAGCGGACATTCCTCAAACGGTGTTTCCACTTATAGGCGTTCCTACAACTCTTCACACGAACTTGGCCTGCGGGTCGGTCTGGCGTCTACGTTGTTGCCGTCGCCGCCTCGTGACCGCCCGGCGGCTATGTTGTCGCCGTCGCAGCACCGTCGCCGCCCGTCGTTTGGGCTTGCGGATCGAGCTGGCGGCTATGTTGTCGCCGTCGCCGCCCCGTTGCCGTCCAATTGGCACAACTGATTTTTTTCCTGAGAAGACATTGGGATCTCCCCCCCTCACCCCGTGGAATTCTCGGCACCTCCTGGGATAGTGCCCTTTGCATTTGCCTTTTGCCTCAGCGCTCGTTTCAAATACGAGCCCGTCCCATCCCGGGGGGCCTGGTATCGACCCACCTTTCATTCTTGTCAGATGTACTATGCACGCACACTCGTTGATCAAACGTCACAAATGTTCAAGAATACAGTGCACCAAGAACGAGACAAAATCGACACGCGCGCGTGCTCGCAGGCGAATGCCTAAATTCTTGACAAGCGGTTAGGTTTCGCAGGGTTTTCAAGATCGAGTTTCCCGGAAACGTGTAACAACCAATCATTTTGCAACGTGCCGTTCCAAATCAAGTCTGCGCGCGCGCTCATGCTACTTCTGACGAAAGCCATATGTTTTCAACATGTCCACCACTAGCGACCAAGCGGGCGCGCGCGCTCATGTCGAAACTATTCGAGAGCCCTTGCGCGTTTGCTGGTGGGAGAACGGTCTTTGCCAAATGATGTAATCTCATGCGGGCCATTCGCGCCTGTCGGCCGCGCGCACATGTCGAGATCCTTCCAGCACCGACGCGTGGACACCATCACCGACCGTCACCTCCGTGATCAACATCGGTGCCGTCATTGGCCTTGCCGTCGTCATCGTCATCTTCACAAGCATCTCTACTATCATTAAGTCGGGCCTGCCCCTCTAGAGGGGGAATACTCAAAAATAGTTAAAACACAGTCTGGGGACTATTTGTTTAATATGTTTGGGCATAGTTTGAACATTTTGTTTGAGTATTTGTCATTTTTCGTCCCAAACCCCCACGTAGGGGGACAGTCCCGACCTAATACTATCATCATCACGCCTGCCGTGGCCAGCGTTGCCATGGTGCCGCGCCCGCCCGAGCCATCGCCTCGCAAAGCGCCTGCGCCTCAGCGCGGCCTGCGAGACGCACTGGGGAGCCCCCGTCGTCAGCGAGCGCGGCCGCGTCGGTCGCGCTGGCCTAGCTGGCCGCTCTGCGCGCGAGCCTGCGCGTGCTAGGGCGGCCGCAGCGACGCCCCAGCCAGCGCCAAGCAGTTGTCGCAATCACCCCCGACGGCTTCTGCAAGGCAAGCTGCGGGCGAGTGGGTGTGGTGATTGCGCGAGCAGCGGAGTTGGACAGGTCACACGGGGGAATCTTGTAACTTCTTTTTTTAGAAAGGATTTAGGGTCTACGACCTCCCCGAGGAATATCGCTTGTTGTCGTCACTGGAGATATTCCCCAGACCCCGCGGCCGCCTTGAATTTTACTTTATACCACGCCAGCCAAGCCACGATCGACACCCCCACTACCATCCTCTGCAACAAGCACTATGCGTGCACCCCAGTTTATCAACAATCATAAGTTGCCAAATATCTTTGCAAGAAACGGGACGCAAAACACACGCGCGCGTTGTCGCGAACGCATACCGCAATCTTGCAAACGACTTTCTAGGTTTTCGTGTGAGGTGCAAAACCGAGTGCCCCGAACCATCCAAACCATATTGGTTTTGCAACATCAGTTTTCAAACAAAACGTCTGCGCGCGCGCTCTTGCGACTTCCTTGGAAGAAACCACCGTGGCTGAAACATGTCATCACATGCAAACAGAAACGGACCTCCCGCGCGCATGTCGCACGGGGGGGGGCGGGGGGCACGATCTTCGTCAAATAACACACTGCGGGTCACTCGCGCCCGCCGGCCGCGCGCACACGTCGAAATCCTGGCAACAACTTTCATCTCCGACGCGTGGACACCATCACCGTCATCGGCGCGATCAGCATCCCCGCCGCCATAGGCCTTGCCGTCGTCATCGCCATGCCCGCCCCCAGCATTGCTATGATCATCGCCGCGTCAGCCGTCGTCGACGTCGCGATGAGACCGCGCCCGCCCGAGTCACCGACTGGGACTGCAGTGGTCAGCGCCGCCGCGGCCGCGGCGGTCGCGCCTTCCTGGCGCGGCCGCAGCGATGTGCCAGCCAGCGTCAAGCAGTCACGACAATCGCCGCCGCATGGGTTTTGCAAACCAAATTGCGGGTCGGTGGGTGGGATGGATTCTCGCGCTAAAACTTTATTTGCACTTTCAAATTCTGCAGGGTGACTTTTCCTTTCTAAAACAGCATTGGGCTTTACGTCGCCCCCGCCCCCCCAGGACTGAATGGCGCACCTTTTCGTTGATGGTGTTATTTTATAATTTCGTGCGCTCGTCCATCCGACACGTGTATTCATGCCGTCCCAGGCAGTCCGTTCATCGAGTCGACCCCATCGTCCATAACCAAGAGCAGTGCGCGCGCCCCTCGTCCATCACAGTTATTCAGCTCCCCAAAACCCACTGCACAAGTGAGAGGAAGTTCGCGCGCGTGCGTCGGCGCGCGCGCACGCCAGAATCCTTAAAACTCAACCGGAGGTTGGGGCGGTCAACACCGAGCGCCCCACCAACATATAAAAAACAAATGGATTCGCACTGCCAGTTTCTTAAATACCAACACCGGGAATTCGTGAACGTTTCCAGTGGATCGGTATGGATTGAATTTCGATGTGAACCCAGCCGTGGCGACGATGTTTTCCCATGACGCTTATAAAAAAAGGTGTTCGCTGGTCAAAACATGTTGCTGCTGTTTTGCCATTTGCCTTTCCTCAGCCCGAAGGGAAGATGAGCGAGGAGGCGGACGAGGAGGAGGGAAGGCAGAAGAGGAAAAGGCGAAGGAGGAGGCATAATGGTAAGCGGAGGAGGAGGAGGAGCAGGAGGAGGAGGAGGAG